CTATGTATGAATCAACTGAGGCAAAGAGAGAAGAGACAGCTTATATCCAACCTGGAAACTAGCCAGTAGAGGAATTAGAATTGGAACTCAGATGTCTCTGGGTTCAAAGACACCGATTGTCCCATGAAGCTGCAACAGCTATGTGCCCAAAACTCACAACTACTTTCATCAGCCAACCACAAACTGATCGTTATCCCTGGGTGTTGATTCAGAGTATTGGTGAGTATAACTCTTCATATGAAACCCATCTGATCCCCACAGGTAATGTCCTATAGCCGAAGCTTGGGAGGTGGAGCAGACCTAAGAACAGCATGAACAAGGTACTTCATGGTCCCCTCTTTCTTGTTCTGTGTGCTATAATCCTCTGCATCAGCTTCATGTCTGGTCTGCTTTCTCCTGTGCACACTACATACCTTCTAGTGTATGCATGATACATTCTCCATTATTCAAATCAAGAAGTGATGAACAACTCTCTCATACCTGAGAGGTATAAGACCTTTAGCCAAAGGTATAAGACCTTTGCTTAATAATTGCCTGAGCCTATTGTTGCCAGGTTCACCCCTTATTGGTCATCAGGGAATTCTTCAACATGAATTGGCTAGGGCCAGGCTAAAGAACAAGATGCCAGCTTAAGAAACCCTGAACCCTCCTTGTTCCCGTGAGCATAATAATCCAACAACAAATCATGGATAGATTCCCTTTAAAGGAAATCCAGGAACCAGTTAAATAGGCTCCTGCACTCTAGGCAAGTACAAAACCAATCACATTGAAGCCATTAGGGAAATCCCTACCCTTCACAAAGAACAACGCAATTAGGACAAAAACCTCAGCTGACAAATTCTCCTTTAGGGAGAGAGAGAGGTGTACTATGTGTCCAGTGTCCCAACTGTTCTTGGAGTTATCCAGAGAACAGGCTTCTGTCTATCCTTATAGAAAGCTGATGAGACATGGCCTACTCTAGTTACTTAGGGCAGCGAGAAACAGGATGGCAGTTTGGGCTAGCAGTGATCAAAGTCACACCTTCCACACTAGCTCGTTATAGTGAATGGATGAAAGAGCCTCCAGAACCCAGATTCTACCTGCAAAGGGAAAGGCAATGACCACACATACAATGGCCAAAGTATCCGGAGGCTGCCTGAGGAATGGTTTTGATTACAGAGCACTAATAAGACACAGCATATTCAAGATGTCCAGAAACCACTCCGAATAAATAAAATGATAGACTTGCACAAGGTGTGAGATATCTCCAGAGACTCTCCGTGGACTGGTCAGTGTATGTCTCATCCAAATACAAGGCCAGTCCAAGAGTTCTAAGAGGTGGCTATTGTGTCAAGTGCAAAAACATCAACACAGAGCATCAAGGAAAATGAAGAATCAGATTAGAATATCCCTGATAAAAGAACAAGATAATGAAACAGTTACATGATTTTTTTTGACAGAATATTCAATAAGCTCACAGAGGTTCAAACACTCACAAAGGGCAAGAGAATAATGCATGATCAAAGAACTTCAGGAGAAATTCTGAAAAGCTAAACAAATCATACAGCTTAAGAATGCAGTAACTGGGGCCAGCCAGATAGTTCAGGGGACTGAAGCACCTGCTTAGGCAGACTCAGGGACCGGGGCTTGATTCCTGGCACGCCACGGCCAGCCCGGCCCCCAGGACACATGGAGACAGTGACTGAAATTGGACCTGGTGGTGAAGGCCTGTAATCCCAGCACTTGGGAGGCTGAAAACAGGAGGATCACCAAGAATCCAGTCTGTGTAGTGAGACCCTGTAGACTGTAGACCCTATACTAAATACACCTTAAAAAAAAAAAAAAAAAAAAGAATGCAGTAGCTAAATTCAAAAATCTAAAAATGCAGAAATATCTAAAAAGCCAACTGGATCAAACAAAAAATTGAGGAACCCATGGCCAGATGATTAGTAATTATTTGGCCCAAAGAGAAAGTCTAAGGGGCTTAGGAGACATTATGAAATGTAACAATATATTTATTATTGGAATCAAAAAAATGAAAAGAGATCAAAAGACCACAGGACTATCTAGTAGATTGTTTCAGTAGAAATGTTGTAAGCCTGAAAGCAATGGTGTGTTATATTCAAGATGACAGGGAGGAGAGAAAAGCCAACCCTGCCAACCAAGAATATTATATTCAGCAAAACTCTCGTTCAAGAACAAAAGTGAGATTGAGATATTCTCAAACCAAAATTTCAAAAATAGGTGAAAGAGTTCTTAACATTGGAAAGGAAAGACTACAGTAGTATGATAGATTAAAAAAGTTGAAAACTCCTTGAGAAAGGTAAATTCTCAAATATAGACAGTGTGATGGTAGTTGGTGAATCACTTTTGAATTTTGTTGTAAAAGTTCAAAGGCAAAAATAAGCAAGATGAGCACATCCCAGGGATCTGCTGTGCTGCAACACCGTCTTATTACTTAGAAATTTAAGAACGCAGACTTTATATTGTGTTCTGGCCAAAATGAAAATTTTAAAACATATTTCTACTAAAATATTAAAAGTTAAAAGGTATTCAGTTGACTTACATATAGTACAATGTGAATAAGGTTGCTATGAAATATCTTAGTACATGTATTATGTTCTATGGTTATTATCTTAGCACTGACATTGTATATCTCAGGTAATGTTTATTCATGTAACTAGACAGAGAGAGAAGCACTACATTCTCTTTATTCCTGTTTCTTTCTCTCCTCTGGAATTCTCCGATTAACTTGATTTTGTTTATAGTCTCTTGTGTATTTTCTTCAGATTTTATAGAAAGATAACTTACTTGGTAATTCCTTATATATTTGCAAGCTATTTCTTTTATCAATACTGAGAATTAAATCCAAAACCCTCTCACTGAGCCCCACCCTCAGCCATTTTTAATTTTTTTTATTTCAAGACAGGGTCTCATTCCGTCACTGAGCTGTTCAAGCTGAGCTCCAACTTCAGATCTTTCTGCCTCAGCTTCCCAGAGTGATAAGATTCCCGGCATGCATGACCACACTAGGCTTGCAAATAATGTTTTATACTCTAATAGATGGATGTCGAGATCTAAACACCAAAATAAACCAAACATGGCTGAGTAAATATTGGATGATGCCATGCACAGAAGCTGACGGAGAAGCAAGATTGATATGTGTGGCCAAGCTTATAACCCTAACAACGGCTACATTGGAGAGAGGAATGAACAGATCCACTGGGGTACAAGAAAGGTGTCTCTTGTTATACACATGGAAAAATAGCTGACTGTAGGTATTCTTACAGTGTTCGTACTTGGCAATATGTGAAGTGTAGCTCAGTAAAAAGGCTGAAAGGAGACTACAAGCTGACAACTATAGAAGCACATCGAAGGTGAAAAGCAAGAGGAAGCTGGTCCTCCACAAGAAGGTCCACACCAGAAAGTGATAAAGGCAAATTCCAGTAAGAATCTCTGAGCAAATGTATTTAATGTTAATATATAAATATTCCAAATTTTA